CATCCTCCTGCAGCGCATCCTTGTCCCCAGCTCCTGTCCTCGGACCCCAGCAGCCTTCATCCCCTCTCTTCCTCCCCTCCAGCTCCCCAAGTCACCCCGCTCAGAGCATGGCTGGGCCGTGCTGTCCCCGTGCCCCAATATCCCCATGTCCCCAGCTGCGGCCTGGGACACCGCATCCCCCAGTGCCACCAGCACTGGCGGGGGTCTCGGTGGGCACCACGGTCCCCGCGTGCCCGCGGCGTCCCCGTGCCCGTTCACTGAGGGGGCAGGACTGGAGGAGGGATCTGCAGGAGCTTTAAGCCCATGGTCAAACCACACCTTTAAGCTCCTGCAATTGCCCTGAGTCCTGCTCCAGCACCAAAAGCCTTTTGGGACCGGCGTGGGGCCAAGGCGGCATCGCCATGGAGTCGCGGTGCTCGGCCACGCTCGGGATGCTCCCGAAGGGTCCCGGGTGGATTTTTCCCACTGGCCACGCTCATCCCAGAGCTGCCCACCACAGGGTGCCGGCCACTTTGGGTCTGCAGCCCCCAAACCCTGCCCGATTCCTCCAAACGGGTGCCCTGGAGCATCCCGGTGCCCCCAGCCCCCCGATGCTGCAGCCCCCAGCCCAATTCTGGCTGGATGGGAGCCCGTAGCATGGCAGCGCTTAATTAGCAGGTAGGGAGTGGAGCAGGGCGGCATCGCTCACGCACAGCTTGGAGCCACTCAGTCATCCCAAAGGCATCCGCCCCACAGGGAGGAGCGCCCCGGCCCAGCATGTAAAAGCGGCCCCGCACGGCCGGGCTGCTTCGTCGCCTCGGAGCCTCCTCTGCTCCCTCTGCTCCTCCTCACCGCCCGGCACGGCTGCAGCGTCATGGCAGGGCACGGCGCCGGCCTGCTCCTGCTCCTGGGTCTCATGCCAGGTAGGCGCCGCCGCTCCCTGCGCTCCTGCGGAGATGCCACCCAGGATGGAGGGGAGGATGCCTGGCCACGGGGCACCCAAGGGTGCCAGGGCGGGTGCACCCCGCGGGCAGCAGAGCGCCAGCATCAGGAGCTGGATGCGTCCTGACACCCTTTGGCCACGCCGTGTCCGAAGGCAGGCGGGTGGCATGGAGCCCACCGTGGCACTTTGTCCCCAAAGGCTGCCAGCACCCGTGGGTGCTCAGTCCCACCGGGACACCCAGCCCCTGTGGGTGTTAAAACCCCAGCAGATGGGTCCGTGCCCCCATGGGTCGGGTGCTGCAGGGGTGCCATGGGGTGCCGTGGGGTGCTGTGGGGTGCTGTGGGGTGCAGGAGCACAGTGCCCAGGCGCTGCCCACCCGGTGCCACGGTGCCTTTCTCTCCCCAGCTCTCCTCCTGGCCGTAAGGATCAACAGCAAGGGCCGGGAGGTTCTGTACCTGGCCAAGGGTGACTCCGTGAAGCTGGGCTGCCCCTACGTCCTCGAGCCTGAAGACAACGGTCCCCAGGGCGTGGGGATCGAGTGGATCCAGATCACGCCCGAGCGGACCGGCCCAGAGAATGTGGTGAGTGACCCCCGGCCACGGAGGGCTCCGGCTCCGTGTGGGGCTGTTCGGCTGCTGCCCCCAGCCCACGGGGGTGCGGAGGGCAGGAGGGATGGGGCAGGAGGGGAGGAGAAGGGATGGAGATGGAGGGATGGAGGAGAGCTGGGGCAGGAGGGATGGAGCAGGAGGGGTGGAGGAGAGCTGGAGGAGGAAGGATGGAGCTGGAGGGATGGAGCAGGAGAGATGGATAAAGCGAGATGGGGTAGGAAAGATGGAAAAAGATGTAGGGATGGAGCAGGCATTCAGGAAGAAGCAGGACATTCGGGGACGAGCAGGAAAGGCAGGGACAAGCAGGACATTGGGGACAAGCAGGACAGGCAGGGCAGGCAGGGTCTGGCAGAGCAGGGGAGGACCAGGCAGGACAGGCAGGGCTGCAGCAGCATCGTGCGAGGAGCAGGCAGGGCAGGAGCAGGCAGGGCAGGAGCAGGCAGCGCCGTTCCCTCCCCTTTTCTACCCCCTCGGGGGGTTCCCCCTGCCCGTCCTCACCTCTGCGTGTCCCCCCCCCAGTTCCTGTCCTACCACGACCACCACGTCAACTACGGCAGCGGCTCGGGGCTGCAGGACAGGGTGGCCTTCGTGCAGAACGACCCGGGGCAGCACGACGCCTCCATCCGCCTGGCCGACCTGCAGGTCTCCGACACCGGCACCTACCAGTGCCGGGTGAAGAAAAACACCGTGGCGGTGCACGAGGTCATCGTCACCGTGCAAGGTGAGCCCCCCGGACCCTTCCCCGACGGTGGCGGGAGCCCTGACCCCCCCGGTGCTCCCGGTGCTCCCGGCGGTGACGGTGTCCCTTGCCCCGCAGAGAAGCCGGCCACCCCGCAGTGTTGGACCGAGGGGGAGCTGATCGAGGGGAGCAGCGTCCTGCTGCGCTGCTACAGCCGAGGGGGGGCCTCGCCGCTCGCCTACCAGTGGGCCAAGCTGGCTGATGGATACGGCGGGGGCCGCCTGCCCCACGGGACCCTCCAAGGTGGGTGCTGGGGGCTCTGAGTGGGGAGGGGGGGTCCTGGGTGGGTTGGGGAGGGGGGTGTCTGGCTGGGGGTCTGCGTCCATGGGTGCTCATGGCTGTGTCTGTGTGTTCCCGTGTCCGTGTCCATCCGTGTGCGTGTGCATCCGTGTGCGTGTCCATGTGCGTGTGCATCCATGGCCGCGTGCACACCTGAGTTTGTGTGATCCCGTGTCCGTGTGCACGCATGTCCATGGGTGTCCACGCACATACGTGATTGTCTGGGTGCCCGTGTGTATGGCTGCCGCGTCTATGTGCGCCCGTGTTCGCCCCCATCCGTGTGCCCCCACATCCGTGTGCTCCCACTCCCGTGTGTTCCAACACCCGTGTGCCCATGTCTGTGTGCGCCCATGTCCCCGTGGCTCCGTGTCCATGCGTGTCTGTGTCCTCAGGTGCCCACATCCATGTGCAGCCGTGTCCCTGTGTCCCCGTGTCCCTGTGTCCCCATGTCCCTGTGCTCCCTGTCCCCGTGTCCCTGTGTCCGTGTGCACCCTGCCCGTATCTGGCTGCAGCTGTGCGCGTCCATGTACACACGTGTCTGCACGTGTCCGTGTGCACCCATGGCTGTGTGTGTCCCTGCGTCCCCATGTCCCCATGTCCCCATGTCCCTGTCTCCCCCGCAGGACGTGCTCCTGGCGACCTTCTGATCCGTAGCCTGTCCGAGGTGCACGCTGGCGTCTACCAGTGCCGCGTCACCAACCGCGTGGGCTACGCCGTGTGCCAGATCAACCTCGGCCTCTCACAAAGTAAGTGCCACCATGGGGGGGGGGGAAACATGGGGAGGGGGCTCTGCCGGGAGAGGGGGGGGGGGCTGGTTCCACGCACCGGGATGCCACCGGTGGTGCGGTGCGTGGGGACAGCCGGCGGGGAGGCCGGCGGTGACAGGCTGTGCTCCCGCGGCAGGAGGCGGAAGGCAGGCGGGCATCATCGTGGGCTCCATCCTGGGCTCGCTGCTGCTCCTCAGCCTCCTGGGGCTCCTCATCTGGGCCCTCATCTGCCGCTACCGCCGCAAGGAGTGCCAGCGGACCTGCAGCGACTGCAGGTGAGGGGGCGCGGGGACAAGGGTGGGCGCCAGCAGGGTCCCATGGGTGCCACTGGGAAGTGCTGGGGATGGCCGGGACCCATGGGTGCATCTGGGGACCCGTGGGCATCGCTGGTGCCACCAGGCACCGATGGCCACCACGGGTCACCTGTGGGTGCCACCAGACACGGGGGGGGGCTGAGGGGCACGGGTGGGTGCCAGCAGGCTCGGATGGGTGCTAACAGGCACCGACGAGCACCAAAGGGTGCTTTTGGGTGGCACTGATGGCAGCCAGCAGGGTGCTGGGGGGGATCATGGGGGGGCACCAAAGGGTGGCACTAGCCCTGGCGAGCAGCGGGTGCTGATGGGTGCTGATGGGTGCCCGGCGGGGGGGGGCTCCCCTCTGCCACCATCCGCAGGAGCAGCACGGGGGGCACCATGACCCGCGCCTGCAACGTGTGCGCCCACCACAGCTACTCGCCCCACGGCATCAGCTACATGCAGTGCCAGCACGGCGACGGCGACGAGCGGGCGGCTGCCCTCATGTGCAACGACGGCATCCGGCACCAGGTCGCCTGCCCGGCTCTGTAACCCCCCCCCCCAAACCCCCCACCCCACGCCACCGGCCCCCACGCGCCCCCGATTCGGCTCAATGTGTGTGTACCGGGGGGGGGGGGGGGAGCCCCCGCCAGCCCCGGCGCGGGGCTGCGCTGCCGGAGCTCGCCGCGGGGACCCCGGCTCCTGTCCCCCCCCCCGTCCCGAAACAGCCACGACCTCCGAGCAAAAGTCGCCGTTTGTGTTCATCGTTCTCCCCTTGGGGTTGAATATTTTTTTGTTTTATTTCATTTTTTTTGGCCATTTTTTTTGTATCTCCCCCTCCCAAGCCCCAGCGATATTTATTTTGTGCCTGCTCGGTGCGGGGCAGCCACGCACCAGCTCCCCCCTCACCCCCCAAAAAAAAAATCGCCTCTGGCCCGGCGCCGCGGGCGCCCCAGGATTGGCTTCAGCAATTTTGCCTTTATTCGAGACGAGACGCCGCTGTTGGCACCAGGATTTGAAGTTTTGGGGAAACGAACCAAAAAAAAAAAAAAAAGGAAAGAAAGAAAGAAAGAAAGGAAAAAAAAAAAAAAGGAAAAAAAAAAAAAGGAAAAAAGGAATCGTGAAAAGAAATAAACCAAAGTGAACCAAGTGCGGCCCCGTCGCGTTTTCCCAGTGGGGGGGTTATGGGGTGCTGGTGATTTTCCAGTGTGGGACTGGTGGCACGAGCTCATTATGGGATGGGAGGTGGGAAGCTGCCGTGGTTGGTGCCAGGGGACCTGGCAGTGCCCGTCCCGGTGCCCCGGTGTGGCTGCTGCTGATGCAACCCCGCAGCACCCATGGGTGCTCTCTGGGGTGCCCACACCGGGGCGGGGTGGGGCAGGGGACGGTGACAGCTCAGGGACAGCTTCGGACAGGGAGTGGGGTGGCCTCAGAGGGCCTGCAGGGGGGATGCCCCAACCCTAAACCCTGTAAGCCTCACCTTAAACCCCAGCCTGCCCCTAGGGCTGCCCCCCCCCGTGTAACAATAACCCCCTAACCCTAACCCTGCCCTAACCCCAACCCCAACCCGAACCTCAACCCCAACCCCAACCCTAACCCTAACCCTAACCCTAACCCTAACCCTAACCCTAACCCTAACCCTGACCCTAACCCTGACCCTAACCCTGACCCTAACCCTGACACCCCGACCCTAACCCTAACCCTGAATCTAACCCCAATCCTGACTCTAACCCTAATCCTGTCCCAGGATTGGGGATGGGACAGGACAGGATGGGAAAGGACAGGACGGGACGGGACGGGATGGGATGGGACAGGACCAGAGGGGACAGGACAGGACAAGACAGGACAGGACAGGACGGGATGGGATGGGATGGATGGGAGAGGCTGGGACAGGACAGGACCAGAGGGGACAGACGGGACGGGACGGGACGGGCAGGTCAGACCGGCCCCACCGCGGTGTCAGGGGCAGGGGCAGAAAGTCCGGTCCCGGACAAAGGCCGGGGCAGGCGGCGGTGGCCATAAAAGCCGGGAGGAACAAAGGCGGCCGCGGCTGCTTCGTGGCCGGGCTGCCCGCGGCGGTGGCCCCGTTCTGGAGGCCACCGGGTTCCTTGCATCACCCTCACCCGCTGCCGGTGCACCGAAGGCAGCGGGTGGGCACTGTGCCCGGCTCGGTGCCCGGCTCCAAGCCCTCGGCCACAGCCGGGTCTGGGGGGTCCCAGGGTTTGGGGGGGACAGCCCTGACTGGGGACCTTGGGCTTCATGTGGCACCGTGGTGCGGCACGGCACAGTATGGCACGGCACGGCACCGAATGGCACGGCATGGCACAGCATGGTATATGGCATGGCACGGTGTGGCACAGCGTGGTAGAGCATGGCACCGCATGGCACAGCACTAAATGGCACGGCATGGCACGGCATGACATGGCACCAATGGCACGGCATGACACAGCATGACATGGCACAGCATGGCACAGCACCGAATGGCACGGCATGGCACAGTATGGCACAGCATGGCACAGCATGACATGGCACCAAATGCCACGGCAGGGCATGGCACAGCATGGTATGGCACGGCACAGTGTGGCACGCCATGGCACAGCTTGGCATGGTCCTGGTCCAGCCCCCCCTGGCCATTTACACCCCCCCCAAGGTCCCCAAGACCCAGCCCTGAGCTCCCCAAGGGGATCCATGGCACCAGTACCCATCCCCCACCCATGGCACCCATGGCACCCGGGGACATGGGACCCCATGTGGGGGGGGGACGTGGAGGTGGCACCGGACCTGGAGCCACCGACCTCACGGATATTGGGGCCAGGGAGGGGGGCGCGGAGGGATGGGGCCACTGGGGGTGGCCGTGCCCCCGGGGCGTGGTGAGGAGGGGTGGGGTGCGAGGTGCCCCCCCCCGGGCCGGGGGGGTGACGGGGGTGTCCCCGCAGGAACCAGCACGCCGCCGGCCATGGCCGCCACCCCGGTGCCCGCCATCGCAGCCCCGCTGAGCGTCAACGGCTACAGCCCGGTGCCGGCACAGCCCGCGGGGCCGCCCGCCCCCGAGGCCGTCTACACCGGGGGGGTCCCCCCGTTCCCAGGTGCCCACCGCCGGCCACCCCCCCCTGCCTGCCCCCCCCGCTGCCCCCCACCGCCCCTAACAGCCCCCGCTCTGCCCCCAGCCCAGAGCCCCGCCGCCCCCGGGGACCCCCTGCAGCAAGCCTACGCCGGCATGCAGCACTACACAGGTCGGGGGGGCTGGGGGGGGCACTGGGCTGGGGGGTACTGGGGGGGTACTGGGTGCCTGGGCATTGGATGGCATTAGGTGGGTACTGGGGGACACTGGGAGAGTACTGGGAGGTACTGGAGGGCTGCTGGGGAGCATTGGGGGGCATTGCGTGGCACTGGGGGGCACTGGGGGGGGCATTTAAGAGCCCTGGGTGCAGTTGGGGGGGGTCTAGGGGGGTGTATAGATTTAGGGGGGGCACTGTGAGGACACTGGGGGGGGGGGAGGCACTGCATTGCTTGGGGGGGGGCACCTGGATGGTTCTGTGGGGGGGAGAGGGGAACCACCACCAGGCACTGGGGGGCACTGGGCTGGGGGGGGGGGGTGTGGGGGGGGGACGTGCTGACCCCCTGTTGCCCACGCAGCCGCCTACCCCGCAGCCTATGGGCTGGTGAGCCCGGCCTTCGCCCCCCCGGGGCCCCTGCTGGCCCCCCCGCCCCCCCCGCAGCAGCAGCAGCGCGAAGGTGAGAGCACCCCGGGACCACCCCCCCCGGACCCCCCCCTTCAAAGGGCACTGGGCTCGGGGTGCCCAGTGGGGGGGGTTGGGGTCACCCCAAGGGCGGTGGGGGTGGGTTGTTTTTGGGGGGGGGGGCACGGGGGGGCGCAGGGTTCCGGGTGCCCGCTGTGATGCCGCTCCCTCCGCAGGCCCCGAGGGCTGTAACATCTTCATCTACCACCTGCCCCAGGAGTTCGCCGACACCGAGATCCTGCAGATGTTCCTGCCCTTCGGCAACGTCATCTCCGCCAAGGTCTTCGTCGACCGCGCCACCAACCAGAGCAAGTGCTTCGGTAGGGACGGGGGGCACGGGGACACCGGGGGGGACACGGGGACACCGGGGGGGACACGCGGACACCAGGGACATGGGGACACCAGGGATGTGGGGACACTGGGGACATGGGGATACAGGGACACTGGGGTCACTGGGGTCACCAGGAACACGGTGACACCAGGGGCATGGGGGGCATCAGGGACACCAGGGACATGGGGACACTGGGGACATTGAGGAGGACATGGGGACACCATAACCGGGGCCTCCCCATGCCCAGGGACCTGGGGGACACCTTGGCCTGGTCGCAGGGCTGTGGGGGGGCTGTGGGGGGGCTGTGGGGGGGTCACAGCCTGCCCAGGGCACGGGGCCGTCCCGGCTGGAGCGCTCCCAGCCAGCACAGAGAGGGGACAGGGACAGCACAGGGGGGGTGCGGGACGTCCCCTGGGGGAGCCACCATGAGGCAGGGGCAGCCGCGGCCGCCCTGTCCCCAGCGCCCCCCCTGCCCCCCCCCCCCCAGGCTTCGTGAGCTTTGACAACCCGGCCAGCGCGCAGGCGGCCATCCAGGCCATGAACGGCTTCCAGATCGGGATGAAGCGCCTCAAGGTGCAGCTCAAGCGGCCGAAGGACGCCAACCGGCCCTACTGAGCCCGGTGAGCCCCCCCAGGACCCCCCCCGCAAACCCCACAGCTCGTTGGGGGTGTGGGGGTCCCACCTGCTCCTCCCCCCCCCAGCACTGCTTAATGCCCCCCCCCCCCCCATCTCCCCTCTCGCCAGGTCTGGAGGTGCCGGAGCAGCACCCTTGGGTGCCCCCCCCCAGTTGCAGAGCAGCCCCCCCTGGGACACCCCAGTGGTGCCCGTGGGGGGCTCAGTCCTGCTGGCGGGAGGGGGGGGGGGGGCACACACAGACCCCCCCCACATGCTCAGGAAGGATGGACACCCCCTCCTCCCCCCCCGGACCAATCTGGACACCCCCAGCACCCCATGTCCCGTCAGCCTGGGGGGGGGAATGGGATGGGACCCCCCCCTCCCCATCACCCCCACTGCCCCCAGGGGGGAACCCCCTGCTTGGAGCTTTTTTCTCACCAAACAGGACCAAAACCAGCTCCAGGTGGGGGGGGCCACCATGGGGTTGGGGCGGGAGGGGGGAACGACACAGGGGGCTGGGCCTGGCACGCCCCCTCCCCCCCCCTTCTCCCCCCCCCCAAGACCCCAGGGTGAGTGGGACCCCCCCCAACACACACACACTGCCACCCCCACCCCCTCCCCGTTCTGCCCCAGCCCCAACCTGCCTCAATCCCCCCCCCCCCCCCCATGGGCACTGGGGTCTGCCCCCCCCGGCCTCCCCACCCCCCCCAACGGCCATGGCCAAGGAGCAGCCGAGCCTGGGACGCGCCAAAACTGCACCAAAAGTCGGGGTCTGGCAAACTGGGGTGCGGCAGCATCAGGATGTGCCGGAACTGGGATGTACTGGAATGAACTGGAACAAACTGGGATGTGCCGGAACAAACTGGGATGTGCTGAAACTGCACCAAACGTCAGGATGCAGCAAGACCAGGATGCAGCAGCATCGGGATGCGCAGCAATTGGGATGTACTGGAACAGACTGGGATGTGCTGGAACAGACTGGGATGCGCCAAAACTGGGCTGTACTGGGACAAACTGGGCTGTGCTGAGACTGGGCTGTGCTGCAATGGGGATATGCCCGGCCTCGCACGCAGGCGCTGCCCCAGGGACTCGCCGCATGGCACCGGGAGCTGCGCCCACCGGGAGGGTCCCGGAGCAGCGCGGCCACGGAGCCCCCGCGGCCACCGGCGTCAAACGGGGACACGGCCAAAACCGCCATGGGGCCAAATTTGGGGCCGATTTGGCCCAAACGGCGGTGCTGCCCAGTGCTGCTGCCGGTGCCAGTGCCCGGTGCCAGTGCCCCCCTCCCCAGCCAAACCCGGGGGAGGAGGGGGTGCAGCCATGCCCTGGGTCCCCCCCCCTCCCCGCTGCCCCCCCTGTACATAACTCCGTTGGCCGGGGGCGCGGGGGCGCGGCCGCTCCTCTCTTTGTCTCTGTCCCCCCCTTTTTGGGGGTTTGGTACCTGCTGAGTCGGTTTAGAGGGTGGGGGGTGGGGGGCGCGGGGCCGGTAGCGCGGGGGGCACAGACCCCGGGGAGTTGACGTCTGCGGTGGAGACACCGGCGCTTAACTTATTTGCTATTTATTGCGGTTACTTTGGATAATTTAATTATTTTTTTTCTTTTTTTTTTTCCTCCTTTTATTTTTTCTGTCTAAATAAAAGTTACAAAAAAAAAACAAAAACAAAAAAAATTCCTGAACCTCGATGGCTCTGAAGCGTCCCTGCCCGGGGAGGGGTCGGGAGGGACCCTGGGGATTTGGGGTTGGGTTCCCCCCCCCCCCAGCCCCCTCCCAGCCCCGCGCCTGCCGCGGTGAAGGAAATGGCCACGGTTCCCAGCAGCTTCATCAATAAATCAATTTATTTAAAAGAATATGTTACAATTAATTACACTAAGTGACTTTACCAAACAACCGGAGTGGTTAGCGCTAGAGAACGAGGAACGAAACACCGGGAGCAGACCGGGAGGGGGGGAGGCTTTTTTTTTTAATTTTTTAAATTCCTCCTTTTTGCAGTTTTTTTATTTTTTTTATTGTCGTTTATTTCCTTCACATTTCTGAATCACGAATAAAAAATACAAGATACCGCAGTGAAAACACCGTTAGAGTTCTCTCGAATAAATTAAAGAGGATGTGTGCGTGGCAGCGGGGGGGGGGGCAGCCGGGGGCGCGCTGGGCGGGGGGTGCCCGAGCCCCCCGATTATTGCTGAGCCCGGGGGGGGGGGCCCGGCTCCGCGCGATTAAAGCCGCGGCGCTTCCTGACCTACTTAGCCGGGCACGGAGCGGCGCTTTCGGTTTCCTTAAGGAAAAAAGAAAAAAAAAAAAAAAAAAACAACAAAAACCCCAAACGCAGCGCCCTGAAACGCACCAAGCGCTGTGTGCGGCACGGAGCCTGGGCCAACGGGCTGGGAGCTCCAGGCCCCCCCTCCCCTTGAAATTAAGGACTGAAAATGGTGGCAAATCCCCCGATTCGCACAATTTGAGTGCCCGGGACTGGCCCGCGGGGCGCCCGAGGACAGCGGCCGAGAAATCCCATTAGAGCGGCGAGCGCTAATTAATTCCCCGCGTGCGGCCTCGCTGCTGCTCTCGTGCCACTGCCCCGCCACGGGGACCTCAGGACCAGGAGGGGTCCCCGAGAATGCAGGGCCTGAGGCTGCCACGCTCACCCCGGGGGGGCTCCTGCTCTGGGGGGGCCCAGGGGTGATGGCGAGCGGCCTCCGCGGGGAACCTCCAGTGGGGGAAAAGCGAAGTCAGAAGCTTGTAAACGTGCCGAGGTCCTTGTGCCAGGAGAGGTATTTCCCTGTAACGTTGCTGTGTTTTGATTTTTTTTTTCCTTTTTCTGTTTTTTTTTTTTTTTCTCTAAAGTTAGTTTTTAAAAAAACAACACAATGAATCGGGGGGAGATGCGTGTAAAAACGCAAGCTTAAAAAAGGTACTGCCACTGGTATGAAACCTTAAAAGAAATATATATATGTATATACGTGCACGGCCTTTGTATATATAGCTTTGCAGTTTTTTTTCTCTTTTTTCTTTTTTTTTTTACATACATACATATATATGCCTGAACAGTGCAAATGGACGATGTCTCAGTTTCCAGTTGTATAAAACAGGAGCCCAGTCCGCCTCCTGGCATCGGCCCCGGGTGGAAAGGAGCAGACAGACCCCGGGGCGAGCTCGCGCCGGCCGCCACCGCCTTCCCCTTGCCGCCGCCGAGCCTGCCCTTCTCCTCGCTGCTTAATTCCATAAACATGAAGTTCACAAATGGTATTATTATTAATAATATTTAGTTTAAGGGCTTTAATACAATAACAGAATTTGTAAGTGTTAATTTTGGGTGTGGGGGGGAGGGGGTTACGTTCTTCCGTGCCCAGGGGCTAAGTGGCCGCGTCCCTCTGCTGTGACCTGACCATCTGAAAGATGTTCTGCAAGAGAAGAGAAACGAGAGGTCAGGGGCAGCCCCGCAGGACGGCTCCTGGCCCCCACGGTCCCACCCGGCACAGCCCAGGGGCTCCCCGGCCTCCTCCTCCTCTTCCTCATCTTCCTCCACTGGCAGCTGCCCGGCCCCACCACGGTGCAGCCACTGAGCACGGGGCTGGGGGAGCTCCCCGGTGCCAGCCCCGCTGGCAGGGCAAGGTTTCGGTTTCTGCCTCAAATGCGAGGCTGGGGGCAGGCGCCGTGCAGGAGGACGCTTGGAGCCCTGGGGGAATGAGCTGAGGGTTGGGGCGCACCGGGTCCCATGGGTGCTGGTGGTCGCTGCTGTGGGTGGCGCGGCTCCGTGCGGTGTGGGGTGCGCCAGGGAGCCCTGGGCACGGCTCCGCTCCGGCACCACCGAGCCCCCCGGGAGCTCGAGCAGAGGAAAGGAGGGCAGGAAGGAGGCCAGGAGCAGCCCCGGGGACCGGACGGATCCCCCCAGCTCTCTCCTGGCTCCACGAGCAGCCCTCCCTCCAGAAAAGGGCCAGAGGCTGCACGTAACCCAAATTCTGCCTGCACGACTCCGCGCGTTCCCTGGAGCTGACCCGAGCCCAGCAGCTCTCAGCAGCTTCCCTGCCGCAGGAGGAGGACGGAGGACAGAGAATTTCCCCCATGGCTCTGCCCCAGGGCACCAGCTCCCTCTCGTGCCCAAGCCACTCGCACCCAACGCACCCCCACTGCCCCCCGCCTTACCCTCGGCCCATCCCGTGGTGGGGCCAAGGGTGTCCCTTAAGGGCTTGGCGCAGAAAATAGGGCCACAAGGGTTGGGCAGCTCACAGAGCACCAAATACATCCATGAAGTATCTGCCAAGTTCCATCAATCTTTTTATTTTACACGAGGGAACGAAAATCACCCGGTGACCGGTCAGCAACACTCCTGATCTGGGATTAGCCCCCCCAGCTCGTGCTGCTCCCATCAGAGCAGTGAGGGCAGCGGCCGGGCTTTGGGGTGCTGGGGGCAGCGGTGCCCCGCGGTGCTCCCCACGCCAGGAGCTGCGGCCAAAGGGTTCCCGGTACAGCAAGCGAGATCATGCAGACGCGAATGAATCCAACGGGACAAAAACCTTTCCCCCCCCGGCAGGGAAGTCCCAGGGTGCTCAGAAGTGAGGAGCCGCTGATGGAAGAGGGAAGGAAGAGAATGCCCCCGGTCCCCGTTCACCGAGGCCCCAGGAAGAGACGTCACGGGCTGCGGGAGGGCGCGGTGCCACGCGCGGGCAGGAAGCGGCGCCAGGCCCGGCACAGCCCGCAGCCGGTTCCCGCGGCCGCCCGGCTCCGTGCCACCAACTCGCTGCCACAACTCCTGCGGGGAGCTCGGCGCCCGGGGGGGGAGTTCCAGGCAGCCCCCCCCAGCCCAGCCTGGCTCTTTCTTTCCTGTGGTGTCTCCGGGTTTTGCGGGCAGGGCACCGGCTTTGAAAGGGCAACGCAGGAACACGGTCGCGTGCGCGAAGCCTTCACCACGCTCTTCCTCAAGTGCGCCGGGTGCCCGGGGATCAGTGGGGTTACCCCCACGGGACGTTATCATGCAGGATCTGCCCGGCAGAGGAAGCATCACAGGGGCGGGAGGCTCCCACACCCCCGCCAGCCCGCGCCGCTCCTTCCTGAGCGGTGACACATCCTGCACCCTCGGCTACAGCTTTCTGCTCAGTCAGAAGGGGCTCTCGCCCCTTTGATGTCCCAACGCTTTCTAGCCAGCACCACGTAACTCCTGCCCACGAGGCGCACCTACGGGAACCGCTGGGGTTAACAGCTTTCTGCCTCACCGAACGCAACCGCGCTTCGGTTCTTTCGAGCTCAGTAACCTGCAGCTATTTCGGACGCCCGAGCGCGGAGCTAAAACGTGGGGTGGGAGCATGGCAAAGCGAGGGGTCTGCAGCCACCGCCGGCGCTCCGAGTCCCCGCAGAGGAAGCTGCGAGCAGAGGCTTGCAGGGAGGCACCCGCAGAGGCCGCGGCTCCTGGCACGCGCCGCTCCACGAGCGCATCAGAGCAGCGGGCGCCTCCCCGCAGGGCCCCTCCGTGTGAGGTGCTGGGCTAAGAGCCTACGCGAGGATATCCTAGGGGCAGGCAGGGAAGGCTCCCGGATGCTTCTCGGCGCATCTTGAGGCAATCGGAAGCGTTTAGCTTTGACTCCTGGCCAGCTGGAATGCGAAAGCGGCTGGGCAGAGGGCGGCAGCGGGAGAGGTGCGTTCGCGAGGCTACGACAGAAGCGGTTTCGCTCCTCACTAGGAAAGCAGCGCTGGGAACGGCACGGTCAGGCCCTAAGGGTCCTCACTCCATCGCAGAAGAACAAGAGAAAAAACCACACACCACTAGCCCGCGGCTTCCAGGATAAAGTCTCTGGTCCTTTACAAGGCGAGTGGAGCCGCAGCGTTTGTCCCCGTGCAGCTGCGCCCGTCCCCTCTCCTCGGGGGAGGCGAAGGGAGCCGCCGCTCGCGGCCGGAGCGTCGCATCCCGGGGCATCCGGAGACCGGCGGCGTCCAGGAGAGGGGCCCCAAACGTTCCTAACGTCAGCAAAGAGGCCTCGGGGCACAAAGCCACCTCTATCCCATCAAAAGCAGCAGTGGGGGGGTTAGTCTGCGGGTTCCCTCCGAGGAGAAGCCACTAGGAAAGGGCACTGTTCTACGCTAACGGGAGCTGGAGCAGAGGAGCAGGAGACACAAGGTCCGCAGCACAGCAGCCAGGCTGGCTCACAGAGCACAGATGCTGTTTGTTTTCAGCCCAATTACCTTGCTGCACATATTGTCTTTACTGCAGTTCTTGTTATCCTTGTCTGTTGCTTCCTCCTCCACCTTTACAAGGGAAAAAAATAAAAAGGGTATAAATAAAAAAGCAGAGCCGGAGGGGACGGGAGGAGACTGAGCAGCTGCTGCTGCCGGAGCGGCTGGAAGAGCGTCGGGAAGGATCCGGGGCGCTGAGGGCGACGCCGTGGCCTCGGCAGGGAAGGAACGGGCCGGCCATGAGGGCACCGGGCGGCCACGCGTGCCTGGCTCCCTGCCCACATGGCCCCACGCCAGCCCCACCGACACGGGGAGCTGCGGAGGAGCTCAGGACGAGGCAGGCTGCCCCCCCAGGAAGCTTCTGCTCCACGATCCAAAGCGGCAGCCACGAAGGCTTTGTTCCTTGAGGTGCAGAGAGGTCACCCCGGCAGGGACGCAGGGCCCAGAGCCCAGTTCCTCGGCTCTGCAGGCGGTGCTGAGCGCCGCCTGCTCCCCGTGCAAAGCCTGGGACTCCTCGGCCCAGCCTGCCCGCAGGTCTGTGGCCCCTCGTGAGAGCGCCTGCTCCAACCTCAGGCTGAGCCACGCCACTTTCCATGTTCACTACAAAACCCCGCTGGCCTCGCGCTCCTCCATCCACTGCTGCATCCCTGGGGCCGCACGGCTGCTGCGGGCTGTGCCTGACCCTGTGCTCCCCGTGTGCCTGCAGCATCCTGCGCCCAGCACAGCACCAGCACTGGGCCCTGGCCACACCGTGACGAGCACCAGCAGCCCTGCCCCGTGCCCAGCAGGTCGGAAACTTCCCCGTGGAGAAGGGAATCGTCCCCGCCCAGGAGCCTCCACGCCGGGCAGATCGTCCTGGATCCCTTTCAGACTCGCCGCGTTTAAGCTCTGATCAGATCAAGGGCAAGGAGAGGCCCCAGCCTCCAGCGGCCGCTTCTCTCTGCTCCCAAAAGGGAGGGCGACCTCCCCGGGACAGCAGGAGCCGGGGCACACGCGGCGGTGGTGCAGCAGCCACAGACGAGGTGCTTCCAGTCCCAGCCCCCCTGCCAGCACGGAGCCGTCCCTGGGACCCGCGGGTGACACCTCTCAACGGCTTCAGCGGGAGGAGGCCGAGCAGCCCCCTCAGGCTGGGACTCAAAATAAACCCTAACACCTCCCTGCTCCCCAGAATCTTTCTGCCAGAGGCTCTCGTGACCCCTCCTGAGTCATTCCGCAGCCCCCGTAACCCCGCCGCAGGACGGACGCTTTGCCCCCTGCACTCAGCAGCAGGCACCAGGGAGCGACCGGGAACCAAGCAGCTCCCGGAGCTCCTCGCTCAGACACAACACGCGGCGCCCCGCACCCACAGAGCCCGAGACCCCCCCACGCTCCCAGCAGAGCCCCCCCGCTGCTCCCCACACAATCCTTCCTGCTCGGGCTGCGGGTCGGAGCCAGGCGGAATCGCTTGCAGTAAAAAGCTGCCGAAAGAGGCGAAGCCGTTGCCCTGCAGCGGCGGGCCCTTACCTCCTTCCTCCACTTGAGCTCGCAGAAAACCCGTTCGAAGCACTCGTGCATGTAGTTGAACTGCAGAGAGAAAGCGGGCGGGTGTCAGGCGGCGGCGCAGCACCCAGCGCCCTGCCCGTGCTGCCGGCTCCTCCTGGCGGCCGCCTGCCTCCCCAACGCCTCCCGCTCGGAGCTGGGTGCTCCCCTCCAGCTCCCTGCGGATCCCAGAGGGAGGAACAAGCGGGATGCGACTCCTCCTTCCCCGTCTGTGAGTAACGGGGGCACACTTACGTAGGGGGTGAAGATTTTAACCCATCGGGGTTTCTTCTCTCCGCGTGCGTACTCGAAACAAAACGCCATCCCCTCCTCGTCCGTGTCCCACCGCTGCATTTCGTCCCATTCGAACGCTATGACCTGGTTCTGAGGGGAGGTAAAACCCCGTGAGCCCCGAGCCAGCAGCCCCCGGGCACGGGGGGGTTTAAGGCAGATCAGAAAAAGCCAAGCCACGCACGGGGGGGGTGAGGGCAGGGAGTGACGCCCCGTGCTGCCAGCCAGCAGCAGTCCCAAGCCCCAGAGCCCCGGGCAAGCTGCTCCCCCTTCCTACGAAGCCGAGGCGGGTACCAGGACCCCGGGCAGAGCCCTGCTGTGCCCCTCACCTCCAGCTGGCCCTCCTCGGTGCAGGCGTGGAGTTTAAAGTGCTTGATGCTGATGGCCGTGATGACATGTCCCTTCCGCCGGGAGTCACAGGAGCAGTGGGGGAAGATGATCTCGTTGTAACCCTCGCACGTCCGCAGCATGTTCAGGTACTGCAGGGGGAAAGCGACAGCGTTGGACGGGGATCCAGCCGGGGCGCAGAGCTGGGGAAAGAGCAGCCCCAGGCTCCCCAGGAGTTATTTACAAGTCAGATTCTGCTTCTTGATCTTCGAGCCAAGCTCGCGTCTGGCGGCTGAGCTCGGGGCACCCCCCTGCTCCCCCACATCTACGCCGGGCAGGCTCAGCGAGTCGCACCGAGCCCCCAGGCGCTCGCTGGGCAAAGCGATAAGAGGCAGAAAATCGGTCGGGCAGACAGACAGCGAGATCTGACACGGGATTTGCAACCTGGGGAGACTTCTGCCAGGCAAAAAAGACCCTAAGAGACGGGGGCAGGGGACACAGCGAGCAGCACTGCGAGCAGAGCAGTGCCCGTGCCTCTCGGCCAGCCCAGTGCCACCGCTTGAGGCGGTTTGAGGCAGAAGACGACCTTTGCCTCTCCATTACTGGGAACAGCTGCTCCCAAAGGGCTGGGGGTGGAGGACTGCTACACGGCACGTTAAGCACCTCACCTCTCAGCACTGGCAGTAACACGCCAGGTTTATCGCTGCCTTGTTTGGAGCCCAGTCAATTCGTGGCCGTGCCAAGGACAAGCAGCTGATGGAGCTCGCCGGGCACGCGGGGCGGTTTTGTTTCGGGCAGCAGCAGACCCGTGGGCACGGCCCAGCCCCACGCCTGGCACTGCTGCACGCCTGCAACCCTGCCGAGGCCTCTGTGCCAAACCGACGCTCCCACAGCTCTGCGGGGTTATTGCTTTCCAAGGAAAGATGTTTTTCAAGGCTGCAGCTATCTCCTTCCCAGACTCAGCACTGCACGGCACTCGCCGGAGGAAGCAACCAGGACAGGTAGGACAACTCACCATGACCATCTTCCTCTGCTCACACAGCTTCTGTAACTGGTAGGACTTCTCCTCTGCTTTGATGTAGCCTTTCTTGACATCATCGACAGCCTGAAACAGAAAAAGGGAAAGAACACCCAGGAGGTCAGGCCCCAGGATCTCCTCACAGTGCTTTGCCTGCCCCAGCTGGCCCCGTGCCACCCCAGCTCGCAGCCCCGCAGTCCATCGTGCACCCAGCGAGGGCCGGGCTCGGCAACTCTGGCCCCGAGCCTCTGCCTGCCTCGGGCAGCACGCAGATGCCTGGGTCTAGGAGGAGTCTGAGAGAAAATTCCCCAGATGGATCTGCAAATGCTGGTACTTGGAATCCTGCCTCTGCCTTCGGGCACCGTCCGGTACAACCCTTCCACCGCAGACACACGCAGCCGCCTCCAGCAGAGCAGCACAGGCTTTGTTTTCACCCTCCGTGCTGCTGGAGGGCAGTGCTGCCATGCAAAGGCTGCTTCACTCTCCGGGAGTGAGCAGGTACACAGCGCTGCCTTTAGCTGCACAGCCTCACACTGCTCAGCCAGGACCCCTGCCCTCGCACCAAGCAGCTCGTGAAGCTGCCAGCCAGTCTGGGGCATCGCTGAGCTTGCTAACAGCTCTTTTCTCAGTTTGTGTCAGAGGCTGGTACTTGTCAGCTGGAAGTGTTGGGACAGCGTTTTTGGTGGCTGAGACAGAGCAGGATTTAGCTCACTGAGCTGTGCAGGTGTCTACCTCTGAGCTGCTCGTCCTAGACCGGCTGTACACAGTCAGAGCACAGCTCCTCTCAGGCTCACTTCACCCCAGAGCAGCTGCATGGAAGGGGTTGAGTGAAAGCACAGGCAGGAACGTTCCCTTTCCTCAGGGGGGGCAGGGAGAAGCCCCCAGCTGGTCACAGACCTGGTGCACAGCTGAGGAACACGGAACCTCCCCTGGCAGGCAGCCTGCAGCTCTGATGGTGCCGTGGCCACCAGCTCACCGCAGAGCTGCCGACTCACCCAGCCACCAGCCCGTGTTCCTCAAAGCTGCCTGAGCAGCGCCAGCCCTCAAGCTCCTGCTCTGCTGCCAGGACACCAAGGCACAGCGGCGTCTGGAGTGGTTCTGGGAGCCAGGCGCTTGGCTACCAGCAGGCGCTGGCTCACCACCAGCAAGAAATCGCAGCTCCTGCCCAAGGAGCTCGCGGGCACCTACCTGATGGAAGAAGTAGGTGACTGCCAAGTCATTGTCGTTGAGAAGAACCTCCTCCTCTGTAGTGAAAAGCCATTTCCGGATGGTCAGGCATGTTCCCGGCACTGCCGAGGTGTAGTTCTGCACGTAGAGTTTGTGGGGGAATTCGTTGGGCGCCAGCTTGCGCACTGCAAGAAGCACAGGACACCGAGGTCAGCACGGGACACCGAGGTGAGCTGGGCTCAGTACCTGCTTCTGCAGTGCTGGACCCCAGGGGTCCCTCGCAGTGGGCCCTGACACACAAACAGGAATGAATTCCCTGGAGATCAAACTCCTCCTGGCTGATGGGGGAGGACGCGGGTGCTGCCCCACTGCCACCCATGTGGCCGGGCAGGGCACGAGCTGAGGACAACCCCACCGAGTGTGGCCCCCAGGAGCCATCACAGCAGCCCGATGTCACCCTCTGCTGAGCACGGGGAGGATCACCCTGCCCAAGGTCACAGAATCACAAATGTCTTGGGTTGGGAGGGACCTGCTGGAGCTCAAGAAGAGTTTGGAAAACACTCTGAGACATGCTTTGATTACCCGTTAGAGCCGGGCTGGCTCCAGCAGGTCCCTGTCCCTCTGGTGCTGGGGCCCCAGAGCTGAGCACAAGGCTGCAGGCAGGGTCTCAGGGAGCAGAGCAGGGGGCACGACCCCCTCACACTGCTCCAGGGCACTGCGATGCGTGGCGCTGCCCCCACACTGTGACTTGCTGCTCAAGGCCATCTCCAGCTCCCCACGGGAGCGTTCTGGGCTTGTTTCCATTTCCCTGCAGCTTCCTCGGAAGGGCCCCTCCGCATCACGGTGCTGCCAGTGCTGCCCGCGCTGCCCCTGCCGATGCTCACTGCGTTCAGAGCTGCTGCTGCTGCTGCTTCCCTTCACTGTGATGGATGGGAAGGGGAGCTCGGCACGTCTCCTTCATCAGGTAGGGTACGGTCACTGTCTCCCTGCAGCCGGAGCTAACAGCTCCCAGGGAAATTAAATGGAGCGCATCCAGACAGGAATAAATGGGGATGCTCACGGCGAGCGTCCGGAACGCACAGGCCGTAAAGGTTAACTGGAGATTTTCCTGTTCTGAGCGCTGTGCTTCTCAAACTGCTCAGAGCAACGGGGCACCACCAGCACCAGCCAGGGCCTGGCAGCCTGAACGCCCCCCGTGGGACTGTGCCTGCATGCAGCAGCCTCCCACCTCCTGCTCCGGGCTCCCTGCACGGCCCAGGTCAGCACCCGAGTACAACCCCAGCTTGTCTTCCAACCTGGGTCGCTTCAGGAGGGCTTTAGGAAGGCAGAAGTTGTCCCTGCCACTTGGCCAGAATTTTCATGTGTGAGGAGCAGTCCCAGAGATCCCCCCCTAAAACTGCACAGCTTGCAGTAACTCCAGGGTGAGTCTGAGGCAGGCAGAGCTGGCGACGCAGAAATGAAGGCACCCAGCTGGGAAGGAGACGTGCACTGGGCTCAAAAGGCAGCGCAGGGACAAGCCCAAACCACCACACCCACTCAGCAGCGTGACCTGGGCAGTTTGGACACCTAAGGTTCAGTGAAGCTGGGGGAGCCGAGACCAGGCAGAGACCTCAGCACGCTCCGAGCTGGGAGGACGGGGATTTGCGATTCACAAAGTGCCGGAATAGTCGCCCAGAATCCTGCAGCTGGGGCTCAAACACCCCAGGATTCAGAGGCTGAAGGACAGACGGGTCAGCTCGCAGCACGTGTCCCCTCTGGGCCTGGCCATCACGCCCCCTCTACGTGTGAGCAGACTAAACCCAGTTCCCTCTGCCCCCCTGCTCCCCACCGAGACGCTTTTGGTGCCCCCTCTCCAGGCAGCCACGTTTCAGTGCTGCCGGCCGCTCTCTCTGCTGGCTGGGCCCTTTGAACTGCAGTAAAACACTTCTCAGTTAACAAGAAGCTCGTCTCCTTGAACTGTTTAAGGGCTGGAAAGTCAAGCAGCAGGAGAAAAAGCCATCAAACTTTGAGGGCTCCTCATTATCAGAATCTGCTGCGCCTGCCCGATTCCTCCCAGGGGCTCCTGACTTTGTGAGCGCAGATAAGGCCCAAACGAGTGCCACCAGGCTCTGCACCGCTGAGCTCCCTCCTCGGCTGCCTGTGGGCACCAAAGGGATGAAAGGACTTACCAAAGGAGTGATTGATCACTTCGAACAAGGCGAAGTAGTTTGCGGTAATACTGTCCATTCCAACTTTAGCAGCCACGGCCTAGAGCAACCAGAGGGGAAAACGGAGTGAGCAAAGCAGGAGCCAGCACCCGGCAGTCCCCGTGCAGGGCAAGGCCAGCGCCGTGCAGGTTATTCCAAGTATTCATTAACCCGAGGCGTTAGTCATCAAGGAAAGCCTGAATGTTATTCTTCCCGCAGAATCAGAGCTTTTCTTTAGCGAGGGCCCAGACTCGCGTGCTTTTGCCTTCCTGCAAACCGCAGACTGCAACTGCCCCACTGCTGACAGTTAGGTCATCTGCTCTCCCGACGCCTCTGCTTTCAGTTCCTGATGGAGGAGCACACCTCCCCGAGGAGCCGGCTCCAACACCACCTCAGCCCTGCGTGCTAATACCACAGCCACATCCCACAGACCTCGGCGGAGGCGATGTGAACTTCAGCAGGTCGCGTCCCAAGTGCCTGAAGGCACCACGACTCTGCCAAAGGCACCACGAGTCTGCCAAAGGCACCACGAGTCTGCCAAAGGCACCACGAGTCTCCTCCAGCAGCGGGATTCTGCTGCGCAAGGCAGGAGCTGCTGCGGTCCTGCTCTTTTGCAACCCTTCAGCTCCTCGCTTGCAGCAGCACTTTGAGTTCCCCTTTTAACTAGTCTGCCCCCATCGCCTTATTCCCCCTCCTTCATCGACAACTTCCATCTCTCTCCAGCAGCGCTGGCTGAAGTCAGTTGTTCTTCACCTTCCGCTCCAAGCACTGGGCCTTCAGGCCGCCTGCAGACCTGGAACCTGCCCAGGCCATTCCCCAGGGGTCACTCCCTTCACGCCCAGCTCGCTGTCCTGCCACGCAGCCACAGGGACGCGTGCCGGACGCAGACAGCTCTTGGATCCAGCTCCTCCTCTGCAGCCACAACACCCGATCTGCCTGGTGCTTCGAGCCATCCGCCAGCTTTCAGATACTATCAGTGGAAATTAATTCAGCGATGACTCCGTCCTTGCAGCCAAGACTGCCAAAGAAAATGCTGCTTCAGCACGGCGCGAGGTTGGAGCTCGCCAGCATTCCTGCCCTCTGCGAAGCAGCACTAGTGCCTACCTGCACTCGAGAGGAGCCGAGAACCCAGCGGGCACCTCTGGGCCTTGGTTCGTGCCTGAATCATGTTAACCTTCCAGTCAGGGGAAAAAAACAAACCAGAACACAACAAGAAGTAGCTCACCTGGTACACCTGATCTGTAGTGCTGTTCTTTTTGACTCTGACTGTCACTGTTGTTATATCTGGTAGTGCTACCCTGAGCTCCACGTCTGAGACACCATTGTAATTCTAGAGAAAGGCAAAAAGAAGGCAGAAATCAGCCAGAAATCATCAGAGTCCACCAGACGTGGCCACAGGATCTGGGAATCGCCGCTCCCAGCTGCAGCCCAGAGCTGGGCCCAGGGTCCCACGCGTGCCCCCGCTCGCTGCCACGAGCTGAGCCCTGAGCTCGACTTTACTGAGCTCCAGGAGCGCAGTGGGGGAAATTCCTGAGCTCCACGGACCAGGCCTGGTGCTGGCTGACCAACGTGGTCACTCGTGCACTCTCACGTCTAGCAGCCAGCTCCCCTGCAAGCCTCAGGAATCTGCTTCCAGGCTGCGTGGGGGAATTCTGAAAGGAGGAAGACGTGAGCTCTGCTTCGAGGCAGGACGCTAAGCAAACTGCTCCGGACCACGCCGGGGAGGATTTTCCAGTCGTGGCTTTGTCAGTGAGGAGCGAGAGAAAGCTTTGAGCCAGAGCAACTGAATTCACCACGGAAAAGTTGGGAAAAGAGCAATGGCCAGAGGGCAAACAGCGGCTCTGCTGCTGCGGGCAACCCAAACCCGGGCAGAAGCAAGTCAGACGAGCTGGTATTTAAAGTGCCTGCTGCCTTTCTGCCCAGCAGCTGCCGAACGCCAGCAGCTCACACACACAACTCCCGGGGCTGACACCAGCAGCAGGAACCAGCAGGCACCCTGCTGCGGGGCCAGGGAGGCCCAGGGCAGGCAGCGAGGCCTCGCACCTGGTTCTGGTCCTCCAAGAGCGGCCTCGGAGCCGTTCCCAGCTGCTGCTACAAGGAGAGGCTTCCTACGAGCAACAGCAGGCTGGCAGCGAACCACAGCCTTGGTTTTCTGCTCTGGTGTTCAATTTGCCCAGCTGAGGCTTTGTTGGGGAGCATCCTCGTGCTCTGACCCAGTCTCCCCACGCCTCCGTACCAGGGCAGGCCGAGTTCCAGCGCCGTGCCCGCGTGCCTACCTCGTCCGACTCCGACAGGAACTCCTGCATGATGTCGCTCTCGCCGATGACGCGTATCGAGCACACTGCGGGACAGAGAGCACGGGTCACTGCCTTGTCCCGGGGCTGGCAGAGGCTGCAGGGTAAGAGCACCCGCCTGACCCGCAGCCTGCAGGAAACTGGGGAGGCACTGGGAGTCCGGCAAAGCCTCCTGACACAAGTGCTTTGCAGGCTGCAGCAGGGCTGCTGGCACGGGGGCTGATACACCCCGAATCCCCCCCGACAGCAAGCGACAAGCATGCAGCGGCGCTGAGGAACTCACTGCTGAGATAATCCCCGGGGGGAAACCCAGGCTGCGGGCACGCGGCCAACAGGAGGCTCTGACTGCACTGGGAAGTGGGCAAGGATTTCATCAATGCGTTATTCCAGAGGGAACGAAGCTGTTTGGGGACTCGGGCCAGGCTCAGTAAATAACCTGGGACAAAACTGTACCAGGCTGCACCCCCGTGCACGCAGCCTGCCGTTTCCTCCAGCCGGGATGAAGGCGAAGGAGCAGGGCTGGGACAGCAGCGGGGTGGGGGAACCTGCCCCGGGCCACACCAAGGGGCTTCGTGCCCGGGAGCTGGGTATGGGCAAGCCTGAGCTCAGCACTGCGGGCCCCAAACCCAGCCCAGCCACATTGTGAGCTTCTTTCCCTGGCTGACAAACGAATGCCTGCGCAGCTCGAGCTTCCAGGTCTCCAGGGAAGGACGGGCCCCGAGGACTCGCTGCCTGCTGGCGAGGAGGGCGGCGTGCGGCCGCACGGCTGCCCGGGCGCTGCGCCCAGCCCCGCACCTTTCTCCAGGTACTCCTCCAGCCCTCGCCGCCGGGTATCCAGCTGCTGCTCCGACAGGGAGAACGGCCACTTCCCCGGCAGCCGCGGGAAGGTGAAGTTGGCGAATTCCCGTTTCAGGTTCTGGTGCAGGATGGCAAACTCGCGGTACCGCTTGGAGCAGAGCTGGCGGCCCGCCATGTACACGTTGTACACCTGCAGGGAGCAGAGCAGGGGCTGGCTGGGGCGCGGAAAGCTTTCCGAGAGCAATCAGGCACAGCGCTGCCTCCCCGGAGCCACGGGTAGCACGGAGCAGCCCCCAGCAGCCCCCTCCTGTCCCCGGGGAGCGCGGCCCCGCCGCCACTCACCACGAACTTCTCGCCGTTCTGCTCCACGTGCTTGTAGGTGGGGATGGAGATGGGCACCGCCTGCTTTTCCGTGTAGTCGTAGAACGACTGCCCCAAGGAGTCATCGCTGGGGTCGAGGTTATCGGCCTCGTGGGGAGGCACCGACAGCACCGTCAGGATCAGCTCCTTCTCCCCGGCGCGGATCAGGTCCACCACTTGTTTGTGGGTCGCTCCCTCAACGTTCACCCCGTTCCTGCGAGAGAGGGCAGAAAAGCCATAAGCAAGGCAGGGGGGACAGCAGAGCTTTCAAACCATGCCAGGAGCAGCCCAGAAACCCATCCCGTAACTGCTTCCCTCAAAAATCCACCAGCTGCAGGTGACTGACACCTCCACGGCTTCAGCACTCTTCCCACAATGGGTTACACAAGCTAAAGAGGAGCAAAAAAAAAAAGCCAAAAAAAACACAAAAAACCCCAACCCACTTAGTTTGTGTTAAAATTCTGCAAGTTCTGCTCCAGTGGCAGTGGGTTTTGCAGCTCAGCTCCGCCTGCACAGCAGCAGGAGGGCGAGCGCTGCTCTGGGCTGAGCTGCTCCAACTTCTGCTGGCGATCTCTCGGGGTGGTGGTTACGGAGTTGTCTGATGGCTTCGGGCACAGGTAAAGCACCGCACGGCACGTTCGCACCCAGAACGTGAGCCTTCTCCTCTCAGCTCAAGGGAAGCACACGAGGTGACCACAGAATTGAGGAACAACACCACTGAGTGCGTAACTCTTGCTGCTCTGCTAGGGCAAAGGCCAGCTCCCACCCTCGGCAGCCCCAAAACACAAGGTAGATTTCCAAAAATCTGTGCTGAAGCTTCCGGATGAACAAGAATGAGAACGCAGGCTCGGGCGCTTGGAGGGCGAGGGCAAGAGGCTTCAGAGGCTGCTCCCAGCTGCCGAGACGAGCACCCGCGAGCCCACGGGCGCGCTGCCAGGGGAGATGAGATCTCTCCAGTTCCTCCTCGACAGGCCCGGGAGCGCTGCTGCAATGAGTGCGGGCTTCCAGCTCTTGCACTGCTCCAGCCTGACTGCAAGAGCTCGTCCAGCGATGCCCCGAGGCCCACGGAAGCCCCGGGACACCTCGGAGCGTTCCTGCCCTTCCTGCTCGCCCCGAAGCCGCTGGCAGCGACTCGCCGCCCGGCTCTCGCTTGGCCCGGAGATGGCAAGCTCGGAGAGACGCCGCTCTGAAACCCAGCCCGAGGTCCAGAGAGAGCTGCAAGGCTCTCTTCCAAATCTGGAAAAGGACAGGGCTGCTTTTCTTTCTGATAAGGGCTAAATGTAGTAGCGAGCCTCCAGAAACGTGCGGTGTCTCCGTACGGAGCTTGGCACCCGAACCATCCCCTGCAGGAACAGCCCCAGGCGGGGCACTGCCCTCGGGAGGCAGCCGCGGCACCCGTGGGTGACCAGGGCTCACATCCCCCCCGCAAGCCCACTCACAGCGAAGCTGCCCAGGGCTCCAACATGTGCCAACGGCCCCCCCAAAGCCCTCATCCTCATTTACACCACGGAGGGGCTCGGCCGGGACGCTCGGCACAGCTGCTGCCCGGAGCTCTGGAGGGACACTGAAGGGCGCCCGCGCCTCCCCGGCCGTGTGGCCTCCCCACGAAGCCACCCTGCGAGCCAGCGAGCTGCACCACAGCTCGCCTCAAATCAAGTGTGAGATTTAATTTCAAGCCCTAGCACTGGAAGGAAAGAGAACAGCTCTCCCCACTCCGCATCGATCGCTTTTATTGAGCTTTTACTTACGAGAATCGCCCCGGAAAGACCCGACCTCAGCTTCCAGGCCTGGGGGAGAGAACCCAGGCTCAGCACCAAGCTCAAAGAGCCCCTGGCAGCGGCTGCGAGGCACAGAGCGCCCGCACCGTGCCCGGCGTTGGACAGGCCCAGACATCAGCTGCAGCCACCAGCAGCCAAGGCAGCGGTGTCACAGCAGGTCACAGCGTGTGATGCAGACACGCTGGGGGACGGAGCAGAGCGGTGTCTGCTCTCCTTAACGAGCTGAAAAGCCCCAAAAGAACCGGGTTTGGGAAGGGAAAGGCCAGGGAGTGAGCGGCCGCAGGCTGGCTCGGCACCCGGCCACGCGAGTGCCCAGCAAGGGCAGAAGCGCCGAGATGGACGCGGTGATGCTGTGGGTCCCCTCCGGCTCAGGACGCTGTGTGAGCTCGGGATATTCCCTGTGAGACCCCGGGATATTCCCTGTGAGACCCTCGGGATTGTCCCTGGCACACACCAGACCTCGAGGACGAGGCGCGTTTGCCAGCGCAGTGCTCCCCCACGCACCGGCACCGAGGAGCAGGCGCCTCAGAGCCAGGAGCAGGTTTCACTTCTCCCATTTGCACACTGAATGACTCATTTTCTGTGAAGACTTCTTAAAATTTCCCAACTGCCTGTCAAGAGAAGACAAGGAAATTTGCTGCAGAAAGCCTGCAAGACGCTTCCCTGAGATTAAGCCCACAGCCTGCCTTTGTGCCTTGCTGAGCCCAAACCACGCAGCCAACAAACCACGCGAGGAAAGCTCAAGTCCCCTCCAAGGCAGGAGCCTCGCCCTCCTGCGTGAACATTTCCAAGGAGAGACGGGCGCTTCGGCATCCCGACCCCTCTCCCTTCTGAGGCCGTTCTGCCAGCTCAGGCTTTGTCACGGCTGAGGCTCCCCTGCAGGACGCCCCCAGGACCATCCATGCCCAGCAGCTCCCCCATGGTTCCAGCTCCAGCTCGGATCGTGTCTTTCCCCCCAGAGGGGATGAGAAACGGCCTCGAGTGCTCCAAGCCTCGGCCCCGATGAGCAAGGAGCAGGGCAGGCAGGCAAAGCCTCCCGTAAGCCCCCAGGGCATGTCCTGCCGGGGTGCTCGGCAGAGCCCACGCAGCATTTCCCCATCCCCAACCTTCCTCAAACGGCTGCGAAATCCAGAGCCAGCATTCGTGCAAACAGATCAAAAAAAAACAGGCAGAAACCATGAAGCGCAGCTCCCGTGACCTCCCCTGTGCCTCCGACAGAGGCTGGGCTCGTTACCATCTCCACAGCCGCCTCTCCTGACATTTTAAGGAAGTTTTCAGGTCCCTGGGCACATTTCCACGCTCTGCTCTGGCAAACAGCACAGCTGCCGTTTGCCGGCTCCAATTACGAGAGCACCAACTCCTCGTAAATGAACACCTGAAACACCCTGAAAGAAGACAAGGCACGTGAGTGTTTCAGCAGGTTAAAAGCTAAATATTACTCACAGGAAAACAAATATTGGCTTCACAGGTAGTCCTGCTGAAAAAGGACAAACATTTTGGACACTTCGGCAGCCAGACATGCACCAAGCCCTTGGGAGGTGCAGGTACCAGCAGCCAGCTTCCAGCCCGCCCAGCACCAGCTCCGAACACACGGCCTGGGTCGAGGCCTCCTCGGTTTCTCCTTCCTGGATCCAGCACAAGAGCAGCTCACGGCGAGCCCCAGGAACAGCACGGAGCAGAGCTGGACGTTCCTTTGTCCCCACACCATAGCAGTGACCCTTCGCCCTTCCCTTGCTTCTCCTGGGGGGAACTCACGCTGCTGACGACAGCTCGAGCGCATGACAGTGGTGCTGGTTTCCCAGCTGAGCCCTGCGCAGCCCCGCAGGGCTTGCTGCTGCTGCTGTTTCCCTGCAGGCATGGGTCCGAACCCTGGTGAAAGGAAACCCTCCTGTCCTAGGGACAGGACCCTTGGAGTCTACCCAAAACTGCTGGGACCAGTGACCAAGGAGGGGACACAACACGCGGGGAAGGCACCGCAGGACGCCAGGGCCTGCAGCAGCCGTCCCTGTGGGGCAGCCGCTGCCACCCGACCACCACCGGGTCCTTATCTCGGGTCCTTATCTCACATGCTTGCTGCAGAGGCTTCCAGCAACCGCAGCAGGGAAACGAGCTCTGTGTGGCCGTTCTGGCACATCGCTCACCGCTCAGGGCCATGAACTGGGGCGCCACACACCACACAAGTCCAGAGCAAGAGGCAAGGTTTGCTGCGCCGTGGGGTTGATGAGACGGGCAGCCTTATGGGCTCGGGCCAAAGCACCCCACTGCCCCTTCCATGAGGGGATTTGCTGGGGACGCGCCCTGCGTGTGGGCAGCAGAACGCTGCCAACAAGCAGCAGCAGCAGCAGCAGCCGCCTCCTTTTTAGGGTCAGCCTGTGCTTCCCCACGGCACAGTCATCTCCGGGGCAATCCACGGGGTTAGACTTTGGACCACGAGGAGATAAAGAGTCTGAGTCCGGAGGGATGGAGCCGGTCACCGGGAGGAGCGCTAAGGAAGCGCCCTCATGCAGAGCCCCGCGGTGTGGGGAGCGGCCCCAGGGGTGGATCTCACCCCCTGGGAGGGTCCTTGGGCTGGTGACGTGCCTGAGGGACAGGTGGGAAAGGAGGGAGCCCGTCAGCAGGACGCCCAAACCCCATGGAGAGGAGCTGGCAGGGCCCTGCTGCTGATCACGCTGAGGATGGGGCCTGGCTCCGGCCACACGCGGGTCAGGGCTCTGAGAATCTCAGCCCTTCCTTCGTTACCTGCTCAATTATGGCCCTTCGTTACCTGCCTAATTATGGCCAGCGAGCTCCCCTGCAAGCATTAACGCCAGCGCGATTTTCCCTCCGTCGAGATTAGCGACGATTGTCATTCAGGGCGATAATCAAGAGCTCAATTAGCTCTCATTGTCTGTCTCCAATGCCCTCAACACCCACAAACACACACGGAGGTAAGGAGATTACAGAGCACACCAGAGTTATGTTGCAAAACCAGCCTCCGACACCAGCTCTGAGCTACGCGCCAGGCACGGGGCGCGATACAGCGACGGACGGCAGGAGATGGCAGGAGAGGGCTGCAACGAGTGCAGGAACCCAAAGCCCTTGGGACAATGCCCAAAACCTCCACGGGTCACAGACAGGGCTGGGAGCACCTCGCCGTGCTTCCCTGTGGGGAAAACCAGGCTCAGGCGAAGCTGCAGCTGCGGGGCTGGGGCCCGGTGAGGAGCCAGATGCTGCCCACCGAGCCCCAGCCACGGAGCTCTCATAGCTCCAGCTCCAGCTCCCTCCACCTGAACCCATTTGTTTGGACCCCCCCACCCCGTGAACACCGCTCAGTGCCCAGACGAGAGCAGGACACACGGACAGCTCCGGGACAGAGCTCCCGGGAACGCCACCCCCGGCACTGTGCTGGGTGCCGCTGCATGAAGGAAGGAAAAGCAGCGCGATGCTGGGAGGCCGTGGTATTGTTTCCGACTCCAGCTCACAGCCCTGCTCGGATTTATTCGCAGGAGCTGGGTTTTGTCAGAGCCAGAAGGGTCAACGCCTGCGCCAAACGGGACCGGTGCCGCCTGGGACCTGTAGGGCCGGCGCACGCAGCCGGGTTAACGACCCTGACAGAGCCAAAACCATCCCACGGCGCTACGAGGAGCCACGCGGGTGGATTAGGAAGCGGCTTCCCCCCGGAGAGGGGCAGGGAGGAAATCCCTGCTCCTGCGGCCGCTGCTCCCTGCCCGAGCTGTCCGGACACCGCAGGCTGTGAGCGAACCTCGGCCGCTGCCTCAGCTCCTGCACCGCTGCCGAGGCTCAGAGCAAAGCTCAGGCCGAGCCTTCCCCCTGCCCAAATCCTGACCTCGAGCTGGAAGCCTCACCCCAAAGCCAGGACCGAGCCCCGGTGCCTCAGCACCCCCCTCCTGGCCCCCACAGTGCAGGATTTCAGCTGGGCGCCTTGCCACGCTCACAAACATTTCCCTGGGTCGATAAATTCTGCTCCCCAGCAGGTGCCCCAGGTGCAGAACTCACCCCCGGACACCTCTGCGAGGGAAATCAAAGCCAGGAGCGTTTGGGTCCCACAGGAGAGCGCCCGAGGCCAGCACCGTGCCCACAGCAGGGCCCGGCCGGGGAGTTTTTGGGCTCTGTGGGGCCAGGCACCGCCGCTGCAGCCCAAAGGACCGGCAGCCAGGCAATCCCGCTGCTGTAAATCCCTGTAATTAATTTAGTAATTGGACTTCCCCAGCACCGCCCGACCTACAGCCGCGCAGGGACCGGGGGCACGCGGAGCCAGCCCAAGGAACTGCAGGGTCACAGGGGGAGAAACCGGGACAGGACGGGGCGCACCTGATGCCAGCCCCCAAATCTGGGGTGTTTGGGGGAAAAAAGGAGCGGTGCCACCAGGCTGAGGCGTTCCCATGAGAGGTGTCAGTCCCGGACAGCCGGGACCCCGAGAGCCCAGCTTGCAGCCAGCCCCAGCCCCCTGCCGGGTCCCACGGGGCCTCATCCTGCCCCCAGGCGCTCTGTGCCCCCCCCCAATACACCACAGCGCTCCCCCCTTGCTCCCCATCGCTGTCCCTTCCCCAGCTCTCCCCCAGGACGCAGCCCCCTGCCCCCAGCCACCCCCTTCACACCCCCCCTACCCCCCCCCATCCCTGTCCCGCTCTCCTCCAGGTTCCTCCCCACGCAGCCGTGACCCCACGGGGGGAGAATTTGGGGTGGGGGCTCCCACTGACGTTTCCTCCTAAGGGGTCCCACCGCAGAGCCCCCCAGGTTCGCATGTTTATGGGGCCGCCGGGCTTCACCGAGCCGAGGGTCCGGGACCCTGCCCCGAGCCGCCCCCTCCGCAGAGCGGCTCCTTGGGGAGCCTGCGACCCCCCCCCCCCCCTCCGCACACCCCCTTTGAGACCCCCAAACCCTCACCTTCCGAGGAGGGGGGGGGCGCGCCCCTGCCCCCCACGGGGGTCTCCCGAAGGAGCCGGGGACGGGAGAGGCTGGAGGAGCCCCCCCAGCGAGGGGAGGGTGGGGGGCAGCCCCCCAACCCCCCCAATAACCCCCCCAATGATCCCCCCCGTGAGGGGCGGCCAGAGCCCGGCTCCGTGAGGCGGCTCCGTGCCGGGGGGGGGGACCCGGAGCCCCCCGCAGCCCCCCGCACGCCCCCCCCCGGTCTCCACTGAGGGCCCCGGCCCCGGCCCCGGCGCAGCCCCCGGCTCCCCCCCCAGCCCCCCCCCCCCGTACTCACACCTCCAGGATGCGGTCGCCCTTGCGGACCCCGGCGCGGTCGGCGGCCCCCCCGCCCAGCACGGCGCTGACGTGCTGCAGCGGCGCGTACAGCTCGCCGTTGATGCTCCGCAGCTGGCCGCCCTCGCTCACTTGGCCGCGCACGTTGAAGCCGTAGCCGGACTCGGACTTGACGATGCGCACCACCCGCGGCCCCCCCGGCCCCCCCGGCGCCCCCTCGCCGCCGCCGTTGCGCTGCGGCCCCGCCGCCGAGCGCGGCAGCCCCTCGCCCTCCTCGTCCGCCATCTTGGCGAGCAGCGCCCGGCCGGCCCGTCACGCGCCCCCGGCCGCGCCGGCCACCGTAGGGAGCCGCCCCCCGTTTAGGGAAAGGGGATGCTGGGAAATGTAGTCCGAGGCCTCTTCCCTCTGCCCACCCCCGCCCCAGCGTGAGGCAGCGGGGGATGCCGGGAAGTGTAGTCCGCCGCGAGGCATTCTGGGAGATGTAGTGCCGCGCCTCGGCCGTCGCCCTGGCAACGGGGGCAGCGCTGGCGGGCCCCGGGCCTGGCCCAGGAGGCAGCGCCCGAGGGCGGCGGGGCCAAGAGCCCCGGGGGGGGGCAGCCCCGGGGGGACACGGCCCCAAACCCCCCCCCCAGGCCCCAGGGCAGGCTCCTGGGGTGCCCCCCTGCCTCCTGCAGCCCCTGGGGACGCAGGGGGACAGGGGAGGGCTGCCCCAGGCACAGCTGGGGGCAGGGAGGGAAGGAGCAGGGGAAAGGCAGGGGGGTAGGGCGAGCAGCGAGAAGAAAGGGAAAATAAATAAAAACAATGCACACAGCGTCACCTATAGCACACAGAGCCCCCCCGAGCCCCAAACGTCGCCACAGCACAGCCCAGGCCATTTCTCCGGTAACATCTATTGAAGGGAGCACGGTCTGACAGGTAAGGCACGGTTCTGTATTGAGGTGCACGAACAACACAGGGCCCACGGCCACGCTCAGCACAGGCGCCCACAGCGCTCCTCTCGACTGCCCGACTCCCTGACGAAGGCAGCACCAGGCAAGCCCCGAGGAAGCTGGTTTGGTATTTTCCAGTTCAAACGTGGGACAGGCAGTCCTCAAACACGCTCCCCTGGAGCTGGACAGCAGCAATCGTGCCTGTCACCACATCCTTGGAAGACACCAATAATTTATTGAAATAAATACAGGGACAAACCCAGCCGCCTCTGGGTTTAAACGCTAGATGTACGTGGGGCACGATTTCTCTACACTCTTGAGAAAGGGACTGGGAGAAGCACGTCGGTACGGTGACTTCGGCCACACGAACCTTTGCCAAGTCCGGAGCAGCCAGATGTGCTGGAGGTCAGAGGTGGAGGCTCCCAACTGGTCACGCATGGGGCTTGTTTTGTAGGAAGGAGTCCTGTTTCAGGAGGATTTCTTTCTTCTTTGTAAGAGTGAATCTTTGCTTTGTTTCTTAAAAACAGATTGAACGCCAAGTCCGCGGTGGCAAGCTGCAATCTGAAGAGGCGGCGCTGTTTGGACAAGACCCTTCAGAAGCCACGGCTGCTCACGGAGCAGCCCCGGCAAACCCAGGACGGGGCAGGGAAAGCGAGCCTGGCTCTCCAGCCAGGGAGCCACCTCATCCACCACGGGGCCAGCTGGCCCCGGCCTCCCTAGCCAAGCCAGCCCCCAGACCGGCCTCCATGTGGCTGTGGGACCCCGTGGGACAGCAGCGTGGACACCTCGCAGATCTCCCTCCTCTGCCAGCACCGCCCCGGCTGTGTCTGTCCTCGGGTGCCGCGGTGCTCCGGGGCACAGCCCTCTGCTGGCGGGTCCAGGGCAGACTGAGCACAGAGGCCAGAAAACGGCAGTCAAGCAGGGAAGTCCGGTCAAGGATAACAAGGGGAGAGTCTTCAGCTCGCTCTGGCCCTCGAAACTCATGTTTCCACCACTCGGATGAGAGGCAGCGGCTTGGGGCCTGACAGCCTTTTGCTGCAAGAGAGAAAGGATTTGTTCAGCCAGGTGGAACTGGAGGGTGCCTGGGAGAAACCTGGGGGGCTGCTCCTGTCCCAGCACTGCTCCTCGAATATTCCTCTGCTCCACGGGAGGGCCCTGTGTTCCTGGCACTCCCCTGAGGGAGCAGCACTGGGCAGGAGAGCCCCCTGCCAGCAGACACAGCACAACGTGCTGCCACCCAGGCAGCAGCCCCAAGCCCAGCGCCATCACACGGCACACGGAGCTGCAATAAAGCCACCGAGCAGCCCAGCGGGCCCCGTGCCCCGTGCCTACCTGCTCACGTACTCCGACTTGGAGCGCGCCCTGGAGCTGTGGCCGCCCCGACTCACTTGCTTCTCAATCAGGTGCTCTATGCGGTCGTGCATCTCCAGGTTCTGCAAGGGACGGGAGGGACGGTTAGTGAAGGGCAGCTGGGACGCCAACCACCTGCTGGGCAGCAGGGGACTGGGCAGCACTGCCCCACTTTCTCTCGCACTGGGGAAGGTTTTCCCAAGGGAGATGAAATCCAGCCCTACAAAGGGGGGCCAGGGGAGCTGTGTAAGACTGGAGAACCTGGAAGCCCACCCGTGCCATCTCTCCAGCTGGTACAGGCAGCCGGACCCGCTCTCTGCCTGAGTTCACCACGGGCTTTGCTCGCACACTGTCCCCATGCAGAGCTTAGTGAAGTAAGTCACCAAGGAGGGAAGAAAATGCTAGAACTGCTGACGCAGGCTCGGTTTTTATCCAAAAAAGGAGAGAAGTTTGACACTTGCTACAATCCCAGAGGCAGGAATGCAATTTTAATTTCTGACACGCATGCAGTCAACTGCAGCTTTGTAGGCAAGAAGGGTTTAGCTGCCAGAGAAACGTGCTTGCTGAGATTATTTTGGACTCCCTTGGAGCTCACTGCTGCTCCAGCAGCCCTGGCTCCACTGGGAGCCCCCACACCAGCCTCAAGAACCAGCACAGCCCTTGGGGCCGCGCGGGGCACGTTTTCCAAGGCAAAAAGAAAAGCCCTGCTAGGACACACCTCAGCCTCCAAGTAAGCGACCTTCTCCTTGAGCTCCTGGATCACAGCATCTTTGGCCTGAATCACCGTTTTGGAGTTCTGGAGCTGAAAAAAAAAAAAAGAACGTTTGCAGTTGCTAAAAATCCCTTTCACATATGCCTGGGCTAGAGCAGTGCTGAGGAAGGAGGGCAGCTCAGCCAGCCATCCTGCCTGGAAACACCCACAGCATTAACTCCAAGGTCTGCATTTAAAAAAAAACAAAACAATCAAAAAAAGCTTCAAATTAAGTCTGAGAATTAAGCCCTAGGTGAAAGAGCCTCCGCTTACACAGTGAGACTTAACTCTTTCAGCAGGCCAAACTGGGAACACTGAGCCCTTTTATTACCCTTCCCGGGCGCCAGCACCGCCACCGCTCGCGCTGCAGTCCTTGGGCTGTCACCCCAGGGTCTGTCCTTGCTCCGGGGCAGCTGGACAGGGCTCTGGGCTGCCTTTGAACCTGGCCCCCTCTGGTTTGCCGAGGGAATCAGCCTCACAAACCAGCAATTATTTGCTTCCAAGCAGCTGAAGAGTTCTCTTCTTTGTTTTTAAACCCCGTGAGCTGTCTCCTCCATCCCGTCCCGCTCCTCTCACCTGCTCGATCATCTGGCGGACCTTGCGCTGCTGGCTCTTCAGCATGTCGTCCAGGTGGTGGATCTTCTCCCGCAGCATGGCCACCTCCTTCTCCAGCTTGGCCGACCTGGGAAAGCACAAAGGAGGAGTCCAGGAGCCGTCAGACGGCTTCCCAGAAGGGCAGCACTCGCTCGGCTGCACCCAGAGCAGCTTTCAGCAGCCAGGCTTCCCCTACAGCAACACGGGTGCTAAAATATTTCGGCCAGACGAGGTAAGGAGAAGCAGAGACAAAACCAATTCAAGCAGGAGCCACAAAGACTCCCGACAACACGCTGCGGGGACACAGGAACATCAGGAAGAGCCAGGCCACAAACGAGGCCTTCCAGAAACATCTCCTCGCCAATTAACCCCCGGAGCACAGGGATCCGGCCGGGCCGAGCAAACCCAACACCGAGGGGAGAGCCGCGGCCGCTAGAGGTCCCAGGGCAGCGCGGCTCCAGCGCCCAGCAGGGCTGCGGGAGGCGTTTGGAGATTAGTCAGCGCCGGGGAGCTGGGAGCTGTTTTGCAAGCCAGAGCGCGAGCACGCCCTTCGCAGGAATGTGCAGTCATGCCCCAGCGAGCTGACACCCCGACCCAGCGGCGTGGGCTTGCTCCGGAGCTGGCAGCCCCAGCGGAGGCCGAGCCTCACCGGTCTTGTTCGGCGAGTCTGTCGCCTTCCACGCTTCTCAGCCTCGCCAGCTCCGCTTCGCCTTCTTTCATCTTCAGCAGCAAGCTCCTGTGCTCCTGCGGCAGAGCGAGAGGCCGAGTTACACGCGGGGGAACGAGTCGCAACGCGTGCTCTTCGGCCTCCCTCACCGAGCTGATAGGGAGCGGGGAGCTGCACAGCCCCACGGCCCCGCAGCCCCCGGGCAGCCTCGCTGCTGAGCCCACGGGACGGACGGGGGCAGCCACAGGGTGACCAGCAGCAGGAGTCCCTGTCCTTCACCCCCACGCTGCAGGAGGGCACAAAGCCTTCTCCTCCCCTGCTTTTGGGCCAGGGGACGCGCCCCAGATCGCTTCGTGCTCGTGCCACACTTACATTCACGAGTTTAATGTTATTTAATGTTAGTTATGTTTAATGTTATTAGGAGCAGCCCACAGCTGGAAAAGAAATCCAGGCTGAAGGTTGTGTTAATGCCCCCACGAGAAGAAGAACCGGGCAGCTGTCTAGACTGCACGCTCGTCTCTAGGATACCCAGAAGACAGACTCTGCACAGACCAACCAGATCTTCTAGACCTGGGAACCGCAAGCCTAAAACAGGAGCGGTCAAATTTATCTGTCCACAACCGCTTCGTCAGAGGCTTCTGGGTAAAGCCCGGTTGGGAAGGGAAGCTCTCCACGCGGCAGGTCCAAGCCCAGGACACATCACCCGTGGGATCTGCTCCCCAGCAGGTCTGCGGGGGGCACCGCGGGGCTCCCCCTTCCCCCAGCACAGCTGTGGGTTCGGTACCTTCTCCATCCCTGCCAGCAGCCGCTGCAGCTCGTCCACCTGCAGCTCCTTCTCCAGCACGCTCTTCTCCGCTCTCCGCAGGGCAGAGCTCGTTCGCTCGGCTTCCTCCTGGTACTGCGAGGCCGCCCTCTGTGAACGAGACAGAGACCCCTTCGCCATCAACCCTGGTGCACGCAGGTGGGCGAAGCACCCCGGCCCTCTCCTCCCCCCGCGTTTTGAAGCTGCTTGAAGCCG